GCTGAACGCAAAGTGTCCTGTAACCATCCACCAAAATTATTGAATGCCCTGTCAACCAAGAATACATCTTGTCCGATCAGCGGTCGCTTGGCCCATTGACGGATGGTTGTTAAGTCAAAGTTGGTACCAGGCTTCTGGAAATACCTGTATTATCAAAGAAAGAAATGTTGATAAACATAACAAAGAGGTTCTCTCTCTTTCTACCCAACAAGCGTTATAGGAATAGTATTTGAATTGTGATGGCTTCCAGGTTTTGAAACTAAGACAGCAACCCTAAAAAGAAAGCTTTAACATTCAATAGCGTAATAGATTCTAGCGCTGCCTTGCCTTAGTATTCTATTTAAATTCTACCGTTTGTGAAAGTTTATCTCTCTGGAAATGATTGATTTGTTGATTGTGTAATCGCCTCGACGTTGTTTTTCCTTCGTGTACATGGTAAGATACTCAGCCGCTGTCTGCACGATATAGTACAGTATCTGTATTTAATCTCCACTATGTGGCTCTTCCGATTTAATTTACAACACTTAACGCAGGACTTTGGCCAGACTACACTCAGCAGTTTACAATTTTGGAAGGAAATTTCCAGATGCTCCCGATTGCATAATCGTCCTCGAGGATGACAGTCAATATTTCTTCTTTAACTCCATCTAAAAAATCATAAACAAAACACTAAGTTCTCTTAATGCTTCTTAAAGAAACGTTTGGAAGGTATATGGAAGAACTCGGCCATTGATTAGATCATGAAAATGAAAGGGTATTAACGGAAAAGCATATCGATGATACTCAATATTTCTTCTTTAACTCGGTCGATACAAGAAATAATAAACAGAACACTAGGTTTTCTTACTGGTTCTCGAGGAAATTTTCGGGAGGTACATGGAGGAACGCAGCCAGTGGTTAGATCATAAGAGTGGAAGGGTATTAATGGAAAAGCATTTGCCCTTTTCTTATCGGTGGCAGATTGGACTCACCAGAAACCTTCCTGCCAATATTTATATGTAGTCCTCAGGGGCTGCGGTATGTTTCCGCGTTGAAATTTGTATTTAAGGGCTCGCGTCAGTTTTTCGTCGATTTTCTTCTTAGAAATTTGTAAGATTTGTCCCCACTTGTCACTGCATCCCCCATTGTTAGCTATAGTATGCAGCACCACTTCTCCGTTTGGCCCAGTACCCCTAAAACAAGAAGTAACACATATTAAAAGTGATTTAAATTCAGTCGCCCAGACCATGAAACTTTCGCGAAACAACCCGTTGATCGATGGAGCTGAAATTATCATCGGAAAATTTAAAGGAAGTTGAGCTTCTTCTTCCCAAACCATACACTTAGCTGACCTGAATTTACTGATATTTTATTCGAGGGGCCTTCGTGAAACCTCAGGGTGTACCTATTAATTTAACATATTAGTTATTGCAACCTCAGAAAAACTTTCCAGGGATTTAGAAGTTNACTTGATCAGCAGGGATTTGCTAAAGCAAAGGCATAGAAAAAACCAGGAAAGATTTATTACTCGACGTTTCGGGGTCATCGTGACTCCATTATCAAGAGACTAGTTTAAAAACATGCAAATAAGGAAAGGTACAAGAATAGCATAAATTAGACTTAACGGCTTAAACAAACACCTTGGCGCGGATGGAATCCGTTTGCACGTTCAGTGTTGGCTTACGCATGCGAATATACAACATTTCATTAACAAGGCAATCAAATTTGCCGTTACATTTCGTGATGACGTTGAATTGCTCGATCAAGCGTTCAGGCATTTCACTATTGTGCTGGAGGTGGTAGCAACACGAAATTAAGCCCCCTATTGTTAACCAACAATGTGTCGTTTATGAATTTAAATGTAACCTGTGTGATGCAGGGTATGTGGGCTATACTCGTGGTCACTTACACGAGCGCGTAGAAGGGCACACAAGGAAATCATCTTCTATCTACAAACACTACCACCTCCAGCACAATAGTGAAATGCCTGAACGCTTGATCGAGCAATTCAACGTCATCACGAAATGTAACGGCAAATTTGATTGCCTTGTTAATGAAATGTTGTATATTCGCATGCGTAAGCCAACACTGAACGTGCAAACGGATTCCATCCGCGCCAAGGTGTTTGTTTAAGCCGTTAAGTCTAATTTATGCTATTCTTGTACCTTTCCTTATTTGCATGTTTTTAAACTAGTCTCTTGATAATGGAGTCACGATGACCCCGAAACGTCGAGTAATAAATCTTTCCTGGTTTTTTCTATGCCTTAATATCACCGGTGGGAATTTCAAAGTTGAGGCAAATTCTGCCTTGACTTGGCAAATGTCGGCAACTTGGCTCGTTCCATCATATCACATAGGTTGTAGTTGTCGAAACTAATGGGATGGGCAGGTTGGATGTTATCAAGAACTTCTCCTCTATGGCAGCTGAAATGCATTCCGGCCTCTGCACTTTCCTTGTAATCGGACTCGTTTTGGATGGGGTGGAGGCCGTGGAGCCGGAACGCTTAGACGCCGAGCAGGAAAAGTAACTGTTGATCTGCCGAGTGGTCAAGAATTCAGAGCTCTTAAGCAACCGGTAACCATTTGTGTCCCTTACGATTATCATTGAGCGAGCAACTGAGGCGGTCTTGACTTTTTACCCTCTTAACTCACTGATCAGGAACTTACTCAGTAGATAATTCTCCTGCTTCTCGTTGAATCCCGCTCTTGACGATTTGCTTGCCTTTAGTGCCCATCGCATTGGTTGGACAAAGCTGCACATGGTTACGCCGTTAGACTGGAGGAGCAGTTTGAAAGTGATCCAAAGCTATAACATTGGCACACTGGAAGCAAAATGACAGCACATCTGCCTTCACTCCTAATGCTTGAATGAATTTGCCTGAACTTTGAAATCCCCACCAGTGATATTAAGGGACTTAAAAAAGCAACATACCCGAGCCGAATTGAGGAGTTTTTGAGAAAATGTAGGTGTCATCAGTCTAAATCTTTAAAGTACCCACCAGTGATATTAGCAGCTGCATTTCTTCAACTCTGCTCTGGTCTTGGTCTTGGTCTTTCTACGTCCCTTAAGATAGTTCTCTCTTTTGGTAGTGAACAAAGCATTCTTGGAGTTTATATTACAGTGCTACAGCTGAGTCTGTCTCTTAGGGACTAATAATATACGGATGATACTGAGAGTAAGCGATGAGCAATCGCCTAAAAATGGGACATCAATCCCAGCGTTCAGAACGAAACACTTGGGGAATATTTTCAATTCTTTTCATGGAGTGTGGTCATAAACCCCTCCTCATCACACCACAGACGTACCTGTCATTTAAAGAAAAATATGTTCCAGTCAACATCTTTGAGCCATCCAGTTCAGTTTTCATTGATGACTAAATGCAACTCGCGTGCTGTTTAGGGTGCTAGAGGCGTTTCTTGCTATTAAACCTGCTTCCAAAATGTCAGATCGCTAAGCCCACTTCCGTATCCCCTTCCCAATCAAAGTAAAAGTTCCTTAGTTTTTACCTACTTCGTCTAACAGCTGCCTGGTAGAAGTTGTAATGACGACACATATAATAATTTGCAGTATTTTGTGATTTAGAAAGATTTCGTTTCACAGTTTTTCCAAAGTTACGTGTTCCAACCTTGACCTTCTAAAAGAAGCGTCACGCCGTCACGTATTTATTTTTGAAACTGAGCTTTTGCGTTAATCTCCGAAAATGAAATCATTAGTTGGACAGTAATTGGGCTACATTTCTATCTGATAAGTTATCCGTTATGGGTGTAAAGCAGAGTTTAGCGAAATAATTTTTAATCAAAAGCAGAGTTCTCGGCTTTTCCGTAAATACGGTTAGTCAATCAACACACGGCAACATGCTAATTAGTAGAGATTCTCACGAAAATATTTAGATTTTGATGGCGTTTTATAAAGCGCTCTCGAAAAAAGCCGAACCATTCATTGCATTTTTTTGGAAGAAGAGCACTTGGGTACTCAATAACCATAAGATAAACCCGATTGGGGAATGGCCACGTATGGAAATTTCGGTTTGTAACTGCAGTCGAACCTCGATTATCCGGACTCTTCGGGACCTCAGTAAATAGTCCGGAAAATCGGGAGTCCGGATAATCGAAAATATGAATATTTATGAGATAGAAATGTAAACAAAAGTATACAGCAAAGAAAAAATTTTAATTGTGAAATCTACACAGTCTGTATGTATTTACACTGAATAAAAACTTTCAGTTCAGGTATTTACAAAGGTCTAAAATGTTCAACCACGTTTGTTTGCTTCAAAGACTTGTAGCTTGATCGCATTGCGAAATCCATCATTCGACTTAGCTGCATTAACTGCACAGGGTCAATATCGTTTTATTTATTTATTTAAGGACTCGTACAAAGTACTAGTATATAAAGAATAGGACATGAGTCCCCTACTAGGTTTAAATACCAACCCAACCCTCAAAAACTAAGCGTCCTATCCCCTCTATTCCCTAAATCTAAAACACTTCCACAAAAGTAAGACAATAACTAGAAATTAACAGCTACAAACCGAGTGGGTATTTATCCGACGACATTTAGGACACATTATTTTAAAAGTGCGAAAATTTTCGCCATCAAAGACATTCAAGAGTCTGTTAAAGTAAAACTCCTTAAGCTTGCGCTTAAAAGAGCTAGGGGACTATGACTGCCTAACATCAACTGGAATATTGTTCCACGTCGAGTATTTTTCGAAACATTGCTCTGCCTCTTTAGTCGATACTAGTTTCTCGTCCTTGCTCTCATCTTCCTCATTGCTACAAACGCTTTCGCTTTCCGTCAAATCTCCGACAACGGTGGCTAAAATCTCTTCATCAGACATTTGCGGTGAATTCGGGAGCTCGTTTTTCAGCTGATTAAGCTAGTCTTTCACATCGCGAGCATTAGGCATGTCCTCATTGTCAAGTTGTTTTACATTTTCCAACATTTCGGCCATGGACTCAGCAATATTATCCTCTCTGAATTCGGGCTGAGAATTTGACGCGATGTTGTCCGAATTTTGAAAAGCGCAAAGGATAATTCGCTGTTTGAAGAGTCTTTTGAAAGGATTATCGGGATTTTTGCGACTTTGAGTTTGAAATCTCATTGATATTTCTGGCCTTATTTTGTGCAAATTTTATCTTCATTCTCACAGACCATCTTGGACCGAGTCAGGAGTTACAAGGCAAAATAAATATAAAGTGGTTAAACCCCTCTTTTGGGTACAGACCTACATATTTTCATAGTTGCTTGTTGTATTTATCTTCGCATCCAGCTCATGTCAAGAATTCCATTCCCTTTTCTCAGTTGCTAAGACTTTGTCGCTTAGGTAGTGATGACTCCGATATTTTTCGACAATTTTAGGAAATTTAGAGGCAACGTGCCACTTTTTCGAAAAACGTGGTTACCCTGTTTCTGTCCTTCAAGCAGGTCACCACCGTGCCCAAATTAATGATCAACAATCAGCACTACTACCGTCACAGGAGGAAAATTCCGACCGCATTTCATTCACCCGCGCAACCACTCAGTTAAAACCATTCTTCTAAAATAATTATAAATGACCTCAAAATGATCCAAAGATTGGCACTATCTTTTCACAACCTCCAGTATTGTCATTCAAACGTGACAAAAACATGAGCAACTTTTTGGTCAGAAGTTCTTTTCAAACTAATGATCAGCCTAGAACTTTTAAATACGCNTAAGTGGTACAGCTTACATGACCTCTTTTATATTTAACCGCTGTACTATAAATTTGTGTGTTCGACCCTCGACGAGCGCCTTCGATATAGCATCACCGTTCAGCATCAAAGGAAGTATCAAGGTGTTGTGTCTACGACCGTGGTGCGCTGTTGTGTAGGAAGTACCCGCCCTTGTTTTTAAGACGTTGTTCATCTCTCTATATTTCACTCTTGACGAATCATCCCTAAAAATACGGAAAATGCAAGTAGAAACGTTCTTACTTTCGTTGATGTTACTTTTAAGTTCACCTGGTGCTTCTTTTGCCGATTGTCCGCAGTCTGAATACCGTGGTTCGACTGGAAGCGTGTACTCTCATGTTCATGGCGAACTTTATGAAAACAACCTTACTTGTTCGTACAATATCCGAGTTCCCGTTGGCCGAAGAGCTATTCTTGAATTTAAGAAGCTGAACATAGAAGGAATGATGCCAGAGTGCGAACAAGATTCTTTGGAAATAATAGTGGGGTAGGTGCTATAGATGTTTTCTTCTCGAAAGGAGGAGTCGTTAAAATACGTGATCGAACAAGTCTTGTGTGCTAACTGAAAGTTTACGAAATTGGTAAAATATTTGAGGCTTAAATTTTGTAAAACCTAACTTACAAGCACGCAAGCGCCTCACAAGTCTTATTCTCTTTTAATGTAAATTAACTTAAACTTTTCCTTGA